GCCCAGCAGACGGACCCCCCCCCCCCCCTTCTTCTCCACAGCCCATCCATCTCTTGTTAACCTGGCCTCTCTGTTCCTTTTCCCACACCCCCTTACAACCCCCATCCTGCTGCTTGCTTGCTTGCTTGCCTGCCTGCCTACCTGCCTGCCTGCCTACCTACCTACCTACCTACCTACCTGCCTGCCCTGTCTGTCTGGCTCTTAACCCCCTGTGCCCTGACACCTGGCTCGCGCGGCCCCCCGTCTACACAACCTGGTACTTCTCTCTCTATGAGTTGCCTTGCCCTTCGCCTCCTCCCGTTCCTTCTTTCGACGATTCCGCTTCCGAGAGCGAGGTAGGGGTCACAGAGAGAAAGAGGGTCGTCTGTCACTTGTGCTAAACAGACCCCAGTTCTCGAATCTCATCCCCCACTTAGCCCAGCTGTCTCCTCCACTCCTCTTCAACCCATCATCGTCCTCCTGGCTACCTTGCTAGGCTCCTTTTTAGTTCTCTCCTCCTCTTTCTCTCCAGATCTCGCCCTATCCTACCCAGTCCTGTACCTTACCTGCGAATTCGTACAGTAGGCTCCTCCGTCCATCCCACCTCATCCGCAGGCTCCCGAACGTCGCGAACCGGCTTGTACCTTGTTCGTTGGCCTCTACCGACTTTCTGGAGGGGCGAACGATGCCTTGGGTGCAGCTGCTACTTCCTTTCACGGCAAAGTCTTGCGCCAGCAACAGCCTGGTTTGACTGACGTATATCCCAACGATCGTTCTCTCTCGACGTCTGACATCCAGCTGGATCCCGCCCTCTTCTTCTTTCTCGCCCTCCTCTCGTCATTCAGTACCCGCCGCCTACACTGTTGCCTCACCCAAGATCCATACAGCCTCTTTTTCCGTTCATTGGCTACCAAGTTCCCCAGAGGGGCCAATCATGTTGACGACCCTCACTTAAAACGCCCTCGACGCCTGGTACGCCCCCTGGAACCGGCTGTAGACCTTGGAGATCTCTCCTTTTCTTCGCCTACCTTTGTACACTGGACGTCCTCTTCCTGCCATCTTAGACATTTCTTCAGAAGCGACCGAGGCTCCATCTGCCCGGCGCTGTCTCACTTGACAGACTACAAACTGTTCCCTATACTAATACCATCAACGACGACGACGACCATCGACTGAAACGTTTCACCAGAATTTTTTTTGAAGAGCCGCGACCTCCGGCAACGTGACGACGAGAACACGACCATCGCAGTTCCCTCCCCACGAGGACAGCACGGCCTGAAACGAGCGATATATCGCCAACTCGATTCTTCCCTCGCCAAAATCAGTGCTAAGAAGCTTTTGATAACCCTCCCCAAGTGACCGTGGCGCGCACTTGTCGTGCCAATGACAAAGCGAGGCCTACGCATTCCACTACCACCTCCCTAGGCCGTCCAACCGTCACCGTGGATATCGCGTCCCTGCTCAAAGCCTCCGACTCGGAAGAGTCTGCCGCGCCTCCGCCGCCGCTCACCCAGCAACAGCAGCAGCAACCGCTGCTCTTCACCCGGCCCGCGTCGATCCCGCCGGGCCTACCCCAAGTTATCACGACGGCGACCGCCGCCCCCGCCCACGGATTGCCCCTGTATGTGCCATCTCAGGTAACACATCAGCCGCCGCCCCCGCTCCCACAGGGGCCGCCGGTCGTCGGGGGCGGTGGCGGCGGCAGCAAGCGCGGGGCGTCCACGCACCCCACAGAGTCTCCTGCCAAGAAACAGAGCAAGTGGTCGCCGGACGAAGACGCCCTGATCATCGAACTCCGCGGTAGCGGCATGAAGTGGGAGGATATTTCAAAACGCCTGCCCGGCCGGAGCGCCATCAGCTGCCGCCTTCACTACCAGAATTACCTCGAAAGACGCAGCGAGTGGGACGAGGAGAAGAAGACTAAGCTCGCGCGGCTGTACGAGAGGTAGGCTTTTCTATTTGGACCCTGGCACTCGATCGTACACGGGGTAGGAGACTGAGAGGAAAATTAACGTTTGTCACAGGCTCAAACCCGAAATGTGGGCCAAGCTCGCCGAAGAAATGGCCGTTCCCTGGCGCGCTGCTGAGGCCATGCACTGGCAGCTCGGGGAGGCAGACATTGCTCGTCGTAACGGCGTCACGCCTTTCTCCCTAGCTGCTGTCAACGTGGAGCCATCACAGCAGTCACAGCCGCCGCTCGCCGCTCGCAATTCTCCATCGAGGCAGCAGCACCATCATCATCACCACCACGCTCACTCGCACTCGCAAGGCAGCATTGCACCCCCGCCGCAAGCCAGGTTCCCGAGGGCTGGCGGATACTCGCCGCTGACTGGCAGCCGGAGGCGTGAGAGCCTACCGCCGCCGCCGCCTCCCCAAGTGATGCAGCAGATGCACCAGTTGCACGAGCCTGGCCCGGGCCTGGCGCCGATACAAAGTCGTGTTGGAGCCGGAGGAGGCATTGGCGGAGGCGGTGCGCTACCCGGGCTTGCCGAACTCACGACGGGGGTTAGTCCCTACAGCACGCCGGCATACGTATTGGGTGGCTTGGGCCCGCCGGGGCGAAGTCCGGGGGCGAGCCCGCTCGGAACCGGTCTACATTACAGCATGGGGGAGGGGTTACCAGGTATCAAGAGGAGGGCGAGTCCGGGCGGGGAGCTCCAGAGAGAGTCGAGCCGGAGGCGGAGGTGAGAGGCAGCTCCGGCTCGGGCACAAAGGGT